GGTGGGCTTAGGTTTAAGTAATTGTTTATGTAATGGTACACGTCTTATTTAAAATTATGTTTGATTATGTTACAATATATCAAACCGGATATTATTGGGGTATATTATATCTTATCTAATACTGTTTTGACGGTATACCTGTGAGTACCACTATGCCCTGACTTTGTCCACGAAGTTGTTCATGGTTTTATCGATGAAAAATAATTTCAATATGAAAAAAAACATGTCTATTTTTATATTTTAACTCAACATTTTATTGAGTGTCTATTCGACTGAACAATACTTGCCCTCAGAGCTCTAAAATCTATTGTTTGCATAACTATATAAGAAGATTCCCTGTCACAAATGCGATTGAATAAAGTCAATTTGCATCTTATATAGTTAAACTTTAGGATCGCTCTTTTCCACGGTTTAGGTGAACGGTTCCACAACGCTATTCGCCGATCTCTGAGTAATTTTCTTAAAGTTTGACTAAAAATTTGAATATATTTCTTATATTATCTATACTATGGAAAATTGTAAAAGTTATAGCAACTGTTGAACCGAATCCATACTTTAATGTTTAAAATCCGAACGGCCCAAAACCCACACAGTCGTTGTGTGGGTATATAATAATATGGTAGCGCACTCTTTCCTTCATCGTCATCACCATCGTCTGCCACTATATAGCGAAGTAATGATGCTCAAAACGGTAATAAAACTGTTAACAATAGCAGATTGTTTTTTTTTTTTAATATTTATATTAATATAGAAACTATTGGAAAATGTTTAATGAATAAAATTGTATTTTAAAGCGCTTGTGAGTTCAATAATTACCTTGAAATAGTACAAGCTACAGTAGGTAAGTATCTAATGCGTATAATCTTCAATTAAACTGTAATTTAAGTTTTTGAAATTGTGCTTCAACTATGTAAACAACATGAAAACGTGGATCTTTAATACTAACATTAATTTATAAAATTCGGCCGATTCCGTTCTACCAGTAGGTCCAATTAATTTTGTCAAAATCATATTTTATTCACCTGTTATATTTTCATAACTTCATCAAGTCTCTTGTTTAGTTCAATGAAATCGTTTGAAAAATTTCCGACATCGATGTAATGTCTTTAATAACGCAACCTAACAACAAGGAAATTTGTAATATTGAAAATAAAGCTAAATGTGTAATGTATAATACGTTATGATATGCAACATAAGCTAAATCATTGGATTCGTTGGAGGTTGGAACATGTTCTCCTCGGCTAATAGGAGTATGTGTTTATTTATTTTCTATAATACATACGCCAAGCGGCTGTTTTTATAGTAATTGTTATAACTTAAGTAACAATTATTTTTAACATTACAATATTCGTATTAGATGTATTTAAGTCAATTTTCAGGAAACACAGCAAGGTGTGTATTTTTACTTCCGTCGATAAAGAACGATAAAACATCAAATGTTAATCCGTCTAGACTTTCATTAATATGTAGTCCGATTTCTTTAAATTGCTTATCAATTCTGTTTAGGAAATCAGAACGTGCTGATGTAGTGTTAAGGTCTGAAATGTCGGCCAGTTCCGTTTCATTAGGACACCCTATTAAATTTGACAAAATCGTATTTACTTCATCTGTTATTATTTTCAAAACTTCTTCAATCTGATCTTTATTAGGATTATTTAGACTATCATACAACGTTATTACTCTGTTTAACGTTTTGTCTTCGGTGTAACTGAAATTGAGCATTTCCATAATCAGGGACTTATAATTAACATTAAATGTATGATCGGTCGGTTCATATACAGCTAATTGCACCCAAATATAACAGTATAGTTTAACCCTAATTATATATATAAACGTTTTCTGAAATTCAATATGTTTAAACGGATCCTTCGTCCAGTTATGTGTAATTTCAAACTGATCATAGACCTTTTGACGACAAGCTGTGTACACACGCTCTATTGCATTCCAGTCAATAGTAACGTTCCATATTGGTTTAATCACAAACGATGTTTCATGCCATACACATCTTAAGGTTAAATAATTGAAGTCAAGAGGCAATGCAGGTATATTTTTATATAGTTCATGTTTTTCGTGATTCAATTTATAAAATTCCTCAATTTTATTGAACCAATATGGTGGTTTAATTAATTCCTTCGACACAGGTTTTTTGTGTTTAAAATTTGTATGTTTCTTAACTTTGAAAATAAAACATCCCTCAAATTTATTTAACAGACTTGGCCTACTTACTGTACGACCAGGGATTTGTTGTCCATTATCTATGACTGTTAAATATTTATGTCCCATACACATTTCTATTAAATCGGCTAAAGGTTTTCGAAATTTTTCTAGATTTTGCCCTCTCATATGTAATTGTTGTACTTGGTCACCCTTAGCCGGTGACCACAGGGCGATATGTAGTTCCCAAAGCCATTTGAATACTATGAAATTCCCTTTGTATGCCATCGCTATCATAATGTATACATGCTCAGCAATTTCTTTAGTGTTCCGTTTTCGGTCATAATACAACTTGTACTGCAATATCATATATTGTGCACATTGAATTTCTTGTGACTTGCGATAGTATTTCAGTTGAGCGAGTACTTTATCATTTAGTGAATCTTCTGTGTTGCTGGTAGTCAATAATCGTATTTCGTCATCATTAAAGCCGATAGGAAGGTCCTTGAACGTTTTGTAAGTGTTAAGAAGTTCAATGAAATCGTTTGAATAATTCCCGACATTGATGTATTGTTTCCAAAACGCAACCTATAACATGACCATTTGTAATATTAAAATTAAGCTAAATGTGTAATGTATAATAGATTAGTGTATGCAACATAAAATAAATCATTAGAACCGTTGTATGTTGGAACAGTAATTTATATAGATATGAAAACATTGACTTGGTCGCTGTTAATGAACTAAATGGTAATTATCAAGCTCTTGTTCAATTTCTAATATAAAGATAGTTAAATATAAACAAAGAACACAAGTCTTGAATAGTTAAAGTTAAAAGGTAATAAATATAACTAAAAGAGAATTATGTTTTGTATTTTTTATTTACCTTTGTTTCTTTTGGAATATCCAACTTTATTACTGCATAGCTTACTTCGTCGGCAATAGGTCTAGATACAAGTATATCAGTTAATGGAGATGATGTCACAGTCGTTAAATAAAAAACTAACTCTAGTATTAAAATTATAGAACACGAGTTTGTTGCCATTATAAATAATTTAGACTTTCATCATTTTTGTAATACGCTTATGTTGAAATGTATGTGAAAATTATGGAATAATGATATATAAACTGAAGAACTTTGAATAATTTGAAAATTTGTTTATTTTTTCAACATCAGCTAACAGTGTATACGTTTAAAGACATTAAAATGAACTTGCTGTTTTAATAGTTAATGTGTTTTCCCGCAGTTAAATAAATATATTTTCGTTTTTTTTTAATTTATGTATGCATACAAAATCAAAATAATGGTATCGAATCCAACACTTAAACGTGAGTTATATATTATAAGGCGTTTTTGCATTATACGATTTTATACAGGGTAAGAATAATAATATAGCCAGCTTTTTTCAATATAAAATATTTATATGTTTTTAACTAAAATTGTTGAAAACAAATTGTATTATGTTAAACTATTAGAAATGGTTTTTTATATTGGAGGATATGAAATATTGAAGATCAGTTATATAGGCTAGGTTTGAAAGTAACGTTGCAAACTACATATTTTTTAGGGTAAAAGGGTAAGGGTAAAAGAAGACTTTAATGTGATTTGTATTCTTATAATATACAACACACACCTATCCTGTCACTCCTTACCAATAACTTTCATTGATATTAACTGAACAATTATTTATTTAAAACGGCTTCTCAAATAGTAATTATTTTTTTAATAATAAGCATTTTGCATAAGAAAAATATAATATTATGAAATATTATGTAAGACGCTATGTTACTTCTGAACAATAATAATTTATTTTGAAAATTTAACAAAGATTTAATAATCTTATAAAGAAATACTGTAGTAGACAATTTTGATCGCGCTATATTGTGTATAAACTACAAAATTTTACTATACGAGTAAATAAGAATTATCTATTGTAAAACTATTAATCAACTATACTTGTTTGGCATTCATATAAATCTAGCTGCCTGTGTATCCGGCTTCGTTTGAGTACACAATTGCAACAAAGTACTTGCAAATTATGCATCATAATCTTTAAAAAACAATTGCTGCCCGTGTAAATACATACCGTGTACTGTGACATCACCGTTTCATTTATTGCTATGCTTTATGATACACGGCTTTTTTTTTGTTTTGTTGGCGAGTAAACAAATAGAGCTGATGGTTTTTCGAGACGGGAACATACAATTGACCATGCAAGAAGAATGGACTTATAGTTAAAAAAGTTGGTATAGCAGCTAGCCTGCTATGCCAACGACAACTAGGCCACTGACTTGAAAACATCTGTCTTGCTCCTACTTTTATACCTTAATACTATCTATTATTGTACAATAACATATATTTCTACTTCAAACGTAGTTTAACAGTAAATTTAAATATTACAATATAAAAGAAAATGTTCTCCTCGGTTAATAGGAATAATGTGTTTATTTATTTTCTAAAATACAAACGCCAAGCGGCTATTTTTACGTTAATTGTTAAAACTTAAGTAATAATTGTATTAAGCATTTTTATAGTTGTATTAGATGTATTTAAACCAATTTTCAGGAAACACAGCAAGCTGTGTATTTTTACTTCCGTTTATAAAGAACAATAAAACATCAAATGTTAATCCGTCTAACCTTCCATTAAACTGTCGTCCGATTTCAGTTATTTGCTCATCAATTTTGC